TGTGATGGCCGCATTTTTGCTGTAATCTCATGTGTTAAAAATGAAGTAAAAACATGGCTGGGCATGATGGCCACATTTTTGCTGTAATCTCATGTGTTAAAAATGAAGTAAAAATGTGGCTGGGTGTGATGGCCTCATGTTTACTTTAATCTCAGCAGTCTTGGAGGCCAAGGCAGGAGGATTGCTTGAGCCCAGGAGTTTGAGACCAGCCGGGGTAACACCATGAGACTCTATCTCTACAAAAAATTTAAAAATTAGCCCGGTGTGGTGGTGTGCACCTGTGGTCCCAGCTACTTGGGAGGTTGAGGTGGGAGGATCACTTGGGCCAGGGAGATTGAGACTGCAGGGAGCCATGGCCATGCCACTATACTCTAGCCGGGGCAGCACAGTGAGACCCTGTCTCAAAAAAGAAAAAAATAAAAAAGTGATACTGGGCACGGTGGCTCACACCTGTCATCCCAGCACTTTGGGAGGCCGAGGCAGGGGGATCATAAGTTCAAGAGATCAAGACCATCCTGGCCAACATGGTGAAACCCCGTCTCTACAGAAAATACAAAAATTAGCTGGGCGTGGTGCTGCTCACCTGTAGTCCCACCTACTCGGGAGGCTGAGGCAGGAGAATCGCTTGAACCTGGAAGATGGAGACTGCAGTAAGCCAAGATCGTGCCACTGTACTCCAGCCTGGTGACAGAGCAAGACTCCGTTTGAAAAAACAAACTTAAAAATGCAGCTAATTAATAGATGAGATGCTGATAAATGCATGTTACAAGACAAATGGATGTGATACCATTTCTTTTTCTGAAAGGTTTTACACATTTGCTGACAATCATAAGGTGAATCTTTTTTTTTTTTTTTTAGATGGAGTCTCACTCTGTCACCCAGGCTGGAGTGCAGTGGCATGATCTCTGCTCACTGCAACCTCCGCCACCTGGGTTCAAGCGATTCTCCTGCCTCAGCCTCCCAAGTAGCTGTGATTACAGGCATCTGCCACTGTGCCTGGCTAATTTTTGTAGCTTTTAGTAGAGATGGGGTTTCACCATCTTGGCCAGGCTGATCTTGAACTCCTGACCTTGTGATCCACCTGCCTCAGCCTCCCAAAGTGCTGGGATTACAGGTGTGAGCCACTGTGTCCCACCAGCTGAATCTTATATAGTGCTTACTGGGTACCAGTCATCATTTCTAAGCATTTTGTATCTGTTTTTTAAATTCTTACAACAAGCTGATGAGGTAGATGCTTTTGCAGTCCCATGTGACATTGAGATGAATGCCTCAGCGAGTGTAAGAGTCAGGCTCATGAACACGCCTAACCGTCATGCTCTACTGCTAAGCAATGAGCTAAAACATGCGGTTTTAGTAGGATATGGTCTCTCTTCTTAAAGACCTATGCAAGCAGGAGGCAGACATCACTAGTTCTTAGAATCACTCTAAAGGAACCAGGCACAGGCGCCCATGCCTGTAATCCCAGCACTTTGGGAGGTCGAGGTAGATGGATCATTTGAGGTTAAAAGTTTGAGACCAAACCAGCCTGACCCACATGGCAAAACCCCGTCTCTGCCAAAAATACAAAAATTAGCTGGGTGTGGTTGTACAATCCTGTAGCCCCAGCTACTCGGGAGGCTGAGACAGGAGAATCGCTTGAACCCAGGAGGCAGAGGTTGAAGTGAGCCAAGATTTCACCATTGCAGTCCAGCCTGGGTGATAAGAGTGAAACTCCGTCTCAAAAAAAAAAAAAAAAAAGAATCGCACTAAAGGGGAACTTTGTGTGAATCTGTAGCTGTATCACTAACAGAAATCATTTCAAGACCAGCCTGAGCAACATAGTGGGACCCTGTCTCTACAAAAAGTTAAAAAATTAGCCAGGCATGGTGGCATGCTCCTATGGTCCCAGCTACTTGGGAGGCTGAGAAGTGAGAGAATCACATGGACTCAGGAGGTAGAGGCTGCAGTGAGCCATGTTCACACCACTGCACTCTAGCCTGGGTGACAGAGTGGGACCCTGTCTCAATTAAAAAAAAAAAATGATGTGAAGACATGCTTACTGAGGCTACAGTGGGGCAAGTGTACCTAGACTTCCCACAAAATGTCATTTGGCAGGGTGAAAGTTACACTGTGTCTATCTAACAGGGCTGCTCTTCCATTTAGATTACACCTCAGAAGTGTGTTCAAAAATAAGCTAACACCTTCTTTAAGGATGGTCTGTGGACCAGCAGCTTCCACATCTGAGAACTTTTTAGAAATGCAGAATTTCAGGCCTATCCCAGAGCTACTGAATTAGAATTTACACTTTATAACATCCATAGGAGATTCCTGTATACAGTAAAATTTTAGAAGCACGGAGCTGAAGAGACACAGCTGGAAATTAGATCTGTCAGTATCGTCTGGATAGATACCCAATCGTCATTTGTGGCTGAGGCTGTTTAGCCTTATGCAGCAACTGGGACATTTAATGTGTCCAGCCTGGGACCTAGGCACATAATTGAAAAAGATAGCCTGACTACCACATAGGGACAGAAGTCCCTTGGCTGGTGCACAGGCCCATGTGTGCTCGGGCTCCTGGCTATCCTGCCACTACTGCTTAAATTGAGAGCTGAAATGAGTAGAAGCCTAGCAGGCCATAGAGAAAAAAAACCACTTGGGGGTCAAGTGGTAAGAAAAAGAAGTGTGCTTTGCAGGAGCACAGCAAGCAGGCTACCGCAGCCTGTTAGAGAGTTTTTGTTTTAGACGGTGTTTCGCTCTTGTTGCCCAGGATGGAGTGCAATGCTGCCATCTCGGATCACCACAACCTTAAGGTGGGTACATAACTAGAACTTTCCAGTCACCCTTGAAGACCTTCCAAATAACCCATTTCAATTACAGTCCCTCCTTCCCTTCCAAAGAAATCAGTATTCTGACTTCTGTAGTCATCACTTCCTATTTAAAAAAAAAATTTTTTGTCTCTCAACTGTGAATTTCTAAACACTCTGGATTCATCATGTCTCTTTCTTCTTCAATTTAATCTGTCTTTTAAATTCTTGAGAAGTATTTATTAAAGAATCCTGACTATTTGACCTATAGAGTTTCTCATAATCTGTATCTTGCTGAATTCATACTCTTGGTATAGTTTAGCATACTCCCTCATTCTCTACATTCCCTTCAAATTTGTAGCTATATATAGAGACTGGATCATATTCATATACAGCAGTTTAGCAAAGAGTATGAGTGGTTTTGAGTTTCTTCAGCAGAAGGCACATAAAGTCTGGCTTTTACTCTATTTTTTAAATCAGGTTTCTTGAAGTATAATTTACGTATAATAAAGTTCACCATGTTTAAATGCAAAACTTAATGAATTTCAATAAAAACCGATGAGTCAAAAACTGTAACCACATAGAAGATATGGAGTGTTTCCATCACCACAAAAAGTTCCCTTACGTCTCTTTGCAGGTTAAACCTTCTGCTCATTCATTATCTCCTGAAAACCAGTAATTGCTTTCTATCACTGTAGTTTTGCCTTTTCTAGAATCTCAAACAAATGGATTCATACAGGAAAAAAAAAGAAGATAGAAAAATGACAATACAATGAACCTAAACAGAAGAAAGGAAGGAAATAAGATAATGGCAGAAATCACTAGGAAAAAAAAAAGGTAAAACCTGAAACAATAGAGACGATTAACAAAGATATAATCCAATCTTTTGAAAATGTTAAGTAGAGAAACACAGCTCTTACGAGACTGATTCAAGAAAAAACGTTAAGATATAAATAAAATTTGTAATGGAAATGGTAAGTTACCTTAAAAGATGTGAGATTAAAAATACTTGGAGAATATTTAGAACAACTACCTGTCAAACACTGGAAAAAATTAATGAAATTATTGAAATATTTTAAGTAGTAAATTGGCAAAAAACGAAGTAAAAATCTTAGGGAGACAAAAACCGTAAGTCATCTGAAGTTGCAATAACAAATTTCTTCCTTCTTTCTTTCACCTAGGATTTCTCTAACATCATTCATTTGACACGTTGGGCTAGATAACTCTTTGTGGGGATGGGGATAGCCTATATTTTGTATATATTGAACAGCATTCCTGATCACACCTGCTAGATGCCAGTAGCAACCCCACCACGAGTTGTGACAACCAGACACTGCCAAATGTCCCCTGGGAGGCAAAACTGTCCACCTTCTCTGTTGGTAACCATTGTCTTAAGCCAAAGTCCAAGGCCTATAGAAGTTACACATAAGTTCGACTGAATTTTAAGAAACAGATAATTCATCTTATACGAGGTTTAAGAGACAATGAAAAGTGAGATAAACTCTGACTCATTTATGGGGCTTGGATAATCTTGAATTGGCCAAGGATGGTATCAGATGTGATGGAAACCTAAATAAAACATTAGCTTAACCACATCCAACAGAATATTAAAAAGTAATACAACATTAACAAATTCAGTTTATGACGGGAATACAAAGAAAGTTCAAGAACAGAAAATCAGTAATAGATGGAATTTGCTATGTTAATTGACTATAGGAGACCAGAGGATAATCTCAATAGATGCAAAAAAAAAAGTGTTGGATAGTTTAACCCGACATCTAACATTGTTGACTCTATTATGACACAATCAATGGGAAAAGTTATGTATTATACTTCGCAATTGGAAGAAACTACTGGCTTTCATTCTAGGATTTTGGCATACAATTGGTACCAAAATCAAATATGGTATATTATCTAGTTTTAGTGAAATTTTAGACAAATAACACCTACACAGTGTAAAATAAAATCTACATTTATGTATATATGTTATGAATAGTATATATGTTATTTAAGTTGGTATTATATAATTTTAATAACATGTTGATATACAATAAATATATTGATTTAAAATAACTTTTTAACATATGCTACACAAAAATATGGAAAAAAAGTAAAAAGTTTCTAAGAGAGTGCTTAAGACTGTATATTATGATGAAAGTTATGATATTCTAAGGGAGACCACCTCTCAGACAGTCAAAGCACTCAATGCATTTTATGCGGTTAGTTGATGGTATGCCGTCTTTTGCCTTGCTTCTGTTTTAGCCTTCCTTCCATCTACCTGTCGTTCCTATAGCCTCCAGGGAGGGGAGAGAAAACCAAACTGAAAATTGACTGTGGTGGCTCATGGCTGTAATCCCAGCACTCTGAGAGGCTGAGACAGGCAGATCACTTGAGCATAGGAGTTTGAGACCACCCTGACCTACATGGCGAAACCCCATCTCTACAAAAAGTACAAAAATTAGTCAGGCGTGGTGGCTCACTCCTGTAGTCTCAGCTATTCAGGAGGCTGAGATTGGAGGATCGCTTGGGCCTGGGAAGCAGAGGTTGCAATGTGACAAGATGGCACCATTGCACTTCAGCCTGGGAGACAGACCGGATTCTGTCTGTCTTTCTCTCTCTCTTTCTCTCTCTCTCCCTCTCTCTCTCTCTCTCTCTCTCTCTCTCTCTATATATATATATATATATATATACACACACACACATATAAAGCGATTGTTCATATATATACTGTATTTACGTCTTGAAAGTTGCATTAAAAATTCTAAAATATGGGGTTTGGAGAGCTTCTGGATTGGTAAAGACATGAAAGTACTTTGATGGTGATGTGCCTGAAGAGGGCGTGAAAGCTTTCTGAGTCTGTGCCCATACCATGTCCTATCCATGTTTTCCATGAGGCTGCTCCTGAATTACATCCTGTATAATAAATCAGTAAGTGTAAGCAATTTTTTTGAGTTTTTTGAGCCATTCCAGGAAATTATTAAACCCAAGGAGGAGTTCACAGGAATTCCCAATTGACAGCTGCTCATAAGTATGGAAGAACCACACTTTCCATCGGCATCTGAAATGAATAATCTAAACATTTACATTTGCTAAAGGAAAGTGACATCCTACTAATTAAGTTTGATTGAGTTTCAACAATCTTGTACTCTTCTATGTTCATATATTTTAGACCATTTAAGTAAAAAGAAATAGATAAATAAGTAGACATGCAGATTGGCAGACAGACTGTCCTGAGTTTTCTATGAATATTCCTAAAGAGCAGTTCATCCAGAAATTTCTTATGCTTTTGGAATACGTTACATACTGTTTTGGTTAAATTGTTTCCCTTATCTGATTTTATTGTTCTTCAGCTCGTATTTACATGTTTGTCCTATAAAGCACACAGGGATGGGTGGAGAGAAGCAGCGTAGGTGGTCATTCAGTAGCAGAGGGAATCAGCTACTTCTCTAATTCACAAACTTTCATCAGTGAAAGCTAGTACTTGTAGATCACGATGAATAGCAGTGGGGATTGCATTGGTGGATTTTGAAAAATTAAAGTTTCAAAATGCTTTTATTATGTGGCGGTAATGGCAAAACGGTACAGCTAAGACACCAAACCCAGAGCAGAGCAAATGTTTCCCTGGCATGTAATAAATGCATTATTCTGACAGACAGGGTTTGATGAAGGCTCCAATGCTCTTTAGGAAGATTAGTGTTTTAAACAAAAAAGGAGAACATTCTAACTGCCTTTCTCTTTACTTTTCTTTTCAGTTTAGAAGCAGGTGGCCATATGGGGAAGGTTTATTTTAAAAGCGGCATGTCTTTTAATCTAAAGGCTTATTAAAAATAAGTGCCAATCTTGGAAAAGTAAGAGAGGCAGGTAATGGATATATGCCATATATTAACATTCAAGTCACTGAGAAAACATCAACTTCTCTTTGGCATGGATTTGGTGCAAACAAAAAATTTCTGAAGACTCAATAATCTGTGTAAACTTATAAATAGATTACATAAAGTGCAAATAATATTCCCTCAAAGTCCTATTAAATACCTTACCACAAAATAGCTTCTAAAAGTAAGTCCTCTTCTTTTGTAAGCAACTTCTTAGAAGCACATTAATCCCCATAGGAAGCTGTTAAACAGGTGAGCTCCATAAGGTCTGCCAGCAAAAAGTGACTCTTTGGTATTTTAACCACATGTCAGTGTTTAAGGAAGCAGAGCTGCAGTGTATCCTTAAAATAATGATAGTCATAGAGTTAACATCCCCTGAGCATTGGCCTTGGGCAAGGTCCTCTGTTATGTTGAATGCTTTACAGGAGCCTGTGGTGGGTGCTCAGAAAGTATTTTTTGAATTGTGTAAGTATCGGCTGGGTGCGGTGGCTCACGCTTGTAATCCCAGCTCTTTGGGAGGCCGAGGCAGGTGAATCACAAGGTCAGGAGTTCAAGACCAGCCTGGCCAACACAGTGAAACTCCGTCTCTACTAAAAATAGTAAAATTAGCTGGGCGTGGTTGTAGGTGCCTGTAATTCCAGCTACTTGGGAGGCTGAGGCAGGAGAATCACTTGAACCCGGGAGGTGGAGGTTGCAGTGAGTCGAGATCGCACCACTCCACTCTAGCCTGGGCGATAGAGCGAGACTCTGTCTCAAGAAAAATAAAAATAAAAAATAAAAAATAATTAATTGTGTATCATATTTAAGCATTCTTACCACCTGAAGGGACATAATTCTAATCACTTACAGTAATATATTAATGTAGATATTGATAACAGGAATTTCCGGATCAATCCACTGATGTTCAGAGACATTTTCATGCCTGAGCTTAAGTGGCCTACAAACGGATTGTCTATTTTACTTTACATTTTATTTTTACCAGCTTTAGTAAGCTACACTTAATGTATAAAGAGCTGTACATATTTAATAGGTGCAATCTGTAATTGATGTATAAAGAGCTGTACATCTTTAATAGACACAATCTGATGAATTTGTGCATATGCAAATGTCCATGAAACCACCACCGTG